TGTTTGTCTATATATTTTATCTCTTTGTCAAAAGATTTAATTATATAGATAAGGAAATAATATGAATAATCGAGGTATCTCAGGTCTTTTATCTACAAGAATTAGGATTCATTAGACAAGGGAATGAGAGACTCAAACGGACGACATAATATAGACTCTTTGTCTTAGAATCGTTGAGCAGAAAAACACGAAGGAGTGATACTTACTATAAATAGTCATCCACCTCTCGTTTATGCACCATTCATTCATTTGTCTTATGTTCTCATTATCTTTCATTCAATAAAACATGTTAGCATCAAACCAACATCAACAATCACCATTGTCTACAGACACTCGAGGCGCTCCAAAGGCACTCGAGGTGTTTACCATCGACACCAGGGACCCTACAGTTCCACTTCAAGCCGCACAACTGATACAAAGGTCAGGCGCTGATCCAGTCATCTGGATCAGCACTGAACTAACCCGTACAACGTCGGCTGGTAATTTTCGTCTGTATAAAGACGGAAGTGGGATTTTTGGTCTTTGGGTGCCAAACTCGCAGGCTTTCTACTCCGATGCTGCTCCACCTAACATCTGTGCTCCGGATGCCCAATCCGATATACAATTGATAGGTCCCATAGGTTCAAAGCCGAGCCAGTTTGGAAGGATCGCGCATACAGCCGCAGCTCGAATACCGGCGAGACGACAGAGTTTTAGCAGACTCGAGTCGAAATCGTCGGGAAATCCGGGTAGCTCCGTATGACCGATCGGTCGGATATGGAATCGTTACCGACTAGAATCGGCAGCAGCACCATTTCTCATCACGTCAGCAGCATCATCATTATCATTTCCAGAGAGATGAGTCAGCGAGTCAATCACGATTGAGAGCCGACAAGCATCACTCAGCACCATACGAACGTGCACATCCGGCGAGCTCAAAAGCAGCCACGCCAGTCAGGCACTCAACTGTGACGCACGAACGTCAGCAACGCAAAACGTTGTTAAATCAAAACGACGTGAGCGGAAAAAACGAGCGGCGATAAATATGATGGTGATGGAGCAGGAACAAAACGTACATCAACAATTCGCTCCATCACTACCTAAGCGACAGAAAATGACAAGATCGCTTAATTCCCTTTTTCTGGACACACACTATTTTATCCATTAAACGGAAAAGATTATTTGTTTGTGCATTTTTGAAATAACGTTCATGGCTGTCGAATCTATCTCCTTTCTATCGAGTATTGTTCACAGGTTATTGAACAGATCTCTTTTAAGCTGAAAGAGAGATGGCATCTCGAGAGAAGGTAAGAAAAATCAACTGGTTTTCTTTCTTTCTTTCTTTTTTACATATTTTTCCTCTTTTTTACACTTTCAAACTTTGAATCAGTGTTTTCTCCCTTTTATGTGTGTATGTCTACGTAATAAAATTTGTGCATGTAATATCCATAAGTGTCTCTGTTTACTATGAAAAAATATAACACGCGTTTTGTTTGACTATTAGATAAAATAAAGTAGTCCTGGTCTTAATATAATAGAACTTTTTTATATCAAATTTTCGAAGTTTCTAAATTCGTTTTAAAAGTATAGACCTTTGAAGGTTCAGAGGTAGAGTATCATTTTGTTTACACAGTACATCATTTCTTAGGCATGATATATTACCAATACATCGTTTGCTGACGATATTTATTACCTCCCCTCTGAACGATTAAGATATATAGGGGTTGGAATAGATTGAAGCGAGCGAGAGCACTATGATCTATCATCATTTAACGAGGAAAAGATGACCGATGGTCCTCTCTCATGAGAAAATTAGGGTACATTTGCCGCGCTGTATCAAATTAGATAAAAATTGGGCGCTAAGTGCAAAATTTTTCGGGAATGTGACAGCGGGTTCCTTTAAATTCTACTTTGACTAAACTTGGCCTAGACTTTATTTTTCCAATCGATTGAAAAAAAGGCGCCAATGAGAAAACTAAAATTTAGATAAAAACCACATAGATTATGTCGACGCCAGAAAAGAAGCCAAAGTAGAATTAAAAGTGTTATTCATAAGCTCCAAGAAGTGTTGAATGAGGCTGGAATACTGTAAAAACAAAAGTGTTAAAAATAGTTCAGTATTATCAAGAATGCAATTTAACA